AATCATCTGACAACATTCGCGATCGAATTTTTGCTCAAATTTGGTATGGATGAAGTAGACTTGATGAAGAACATACAAAAAAAATTCAGTCAAAAATACCCCGGAACCACTCAAATTGAGGTGACCCCACAGCCCACGTGGGTTCCTCCCGCCTGGCCGCACAGGAACATTTATCATAATATATATATATATATATATATATATATATATATATATATATATATATATATATATATATATATATATATATATATATATAGCTAATTATTATATATAAACGCATGCTGTGGCGCGCGCAGGCGGAGCGTGTGGATATGGAAACTTATACAGTGCAGGCTACGGGACTGATACTACCGCACTAAGCACCGCTCTGTTTAACAATGGCCTGAGCTGTGGAGCCTGTTTCCAGATAAAGTGTGCAGAGCCAGCTGGCTCCAACGTTTGCAGCACACGATCCATTACTGTCACGGCCACAAACTTCTGCCCTCCTGGCGGCTGGTGTAGCCCTCCACAGCAGCACTTTGATCTGTCTAAGCCTGCTTTTGACCGACTTGCACTACCCAAGGCTGGAGTTGTTTCTGTTTCCTACAAAAGGTAAAATTACTTGCTAATCATACTTGCAAGTAAAAAATTCTCCAAAAACGTAGTTGAAGTTTTATTAAATGAAAATACGTATCTTAAAAAGGAAAATATCTTAAAAGGAAAAAGGAAAAAGTTTAAGCTATTTAATTGACAAAAAACAGAGTATTTGATTTAGTTTTATTTGGCACACAAGTTGTGTTTCCACAGAGGCTGCTCAGCGTAGCTTTTTAAAAAAGATGTTTTAATTATTTTGAAAAAAGTTCTTAAAAATTGGTGGAAATAATTCCACTTTTGCTCTCATGACTATTATACCACTTTCACATTTAGTCCCTTACTTTCAGATTGTCCACATTTAGTCCGTGACTATTATCCCCTCGTCATTCCGGCCAAAATTCTGGCAAATTTAATGCAGATTTTAGGTAAATAAAACCAAATTTAATGCAAAGACTGATATGAAAAACTCAACCTGATACAAAATTTAATGCAACGACTGATTCTGAGGCTGAGGCTCCTATAAAATATGACCAAACAGTTTTTGTTCCTCAACTAACTAGTCACAAGCACATAAATATATATATCCCCATGCATATTTTTAATGTGGTTATCATAAATAAATAAATAAAACATCATTTGTTATTAAAATTATTCGGTATCATACAACGTATAAGAGAGCTAGGATGTCAACTAATTACTCGTAGCTATTTTTTGAGAATTTGAAAGCCCTACTACTCTTGTTCTTGTAATTTACTACTCAGCTCCTAGATAGCGAACTTTGTTTAATTCTCTGATGGACTTTTATCTATATATCTTAATTGGTTGGAAGGGTACCGTGCGTGAGAGAAGGAGGCATAAGGTTCACAATCAACGGACACACATTCTTCAACCTAGTCCTAGTAACAAACGTTGCAGGTGCGGGTGACGTACATGCGGTGAGCATAAAAGGATCAAACACAGGTTGGGCGCCTATGTCAAGAAACTGGGGACAGAACTGGCAGAGCAATGCCAACCTCAACGGTCAATCCCTCTCTTTCAAAGTCACTACCAGTGATGGTCAAACTGTCACCTCCAAAGACGTCGCTCCTTCTAACTGGGGGTTCGGTCAGACCTACCAGGGCGCCCAGTTCAATCAATAATATATTCCCGCCCATGCATGCCTCCCTGGCCGCTCTATACTTTTAATTATACATATATACCATACTTAATATTTATAGCTAGCTCACCTCACTACCTAGGTGAACATACATATATGTCATTGGGCCGGCAAGGAGCTGAGCTAAGTATGTAACCTACAATTCAAATACACTAGTATATATTCCATCATATACTGCACTTTTATCAATTATTACTCAAAGCAATATTTTGTGTTTCGAGAAAACAAAATTGGAAAATATGTTTCCTCGTTGATGACTAATCCTGCAGGTGGAACGGAGGACAGAACTATTCATTGTTCTGTGAGAACGGTTTGCTTATACGGTATTGGTGATTTTAGTGTCGCCAGCTGTTTTGTGTAATTAGAAATGACATGAGTGCCAATATAACGGGGATTAGAACCGTGTCCTAATACAAGCTAGTAGATGTGTGGTGCACACTTGTATATAAGAACGAGTTTTATTCCACAGTGTCTACGGCAATGGGACTCGAGGTAGAACACTCTGTAGACCAACTATGTGGTTCTAGACCGAGGTCTAGCTAGAGCGATTGGGCAGTTTCGTGCAGTTTTCCAAAAACTGCCACGTTTATTCTCAAACGTGTTGTAAATGTCTCAAACGGTTAATATGGATATACATCACCATATTTCATACAGAGAAGGGTGATGGAAGATATATAACATATCTTTATCTCTTTTGGCATTCAAATTAAGAAAACAATCCATATACTCACTAGTTTGGTTCTAGTTCTTGTGACTAAGTTCTAAAGTCTCCTTAAGGATTAATGTCATTTTGAAACAAATGGGGATGGGAACCCAACTTGTGTGATTGGAGATCCCATGAAGTAAGTTCATATAAGTAATAACAAGTCTTCCATTTAGTTCTGCTAGCCTAACTAAAATTGTCCATTTCCATAATGTGAGATATAGGCTAGAAACCGCATTCTTTGAGAGGGTGAGCTAAAAGTTCTTAATGATTATCATAGCCCTTAATTTTACGGCGGTGTGCAAAAGCGGTACACACTTGATGATATGACCTATATGAGTGTGAAGTGAGACCGCCTCTATGAAGCATGACAAAACTTATAGAGCACTCATGAACACCAAGCATTGCGCCGCATGGCCTTACGGCGTACAACGACGTAATAATGAGAAATTGTGCAGGGCGAGAAATTGAAATACCTTTTGTTATTTTTCTTTTTTATTACTTCGTATAATGTAAAATATGATTATCTTATTAAGTTATGGTAAGGGTAGAAATGTAGAATAAGAAGATTGACGGTACTTTAGTAAAGATAAATAACATAGTCCTATTTATGCATTTATGGATTAGTTTAGTCCTATTTTGGGGCTATTTTCTCAAATATATATTAGTGGTAGAATAAAGGTAAGAAAAGGAAAAAGGAAATACCTGTTCTTCTGTTGCATTCTTATCCGTGCACAAAATGGGAGCATTTTATTTTACGATATGAAGAGAGCAAGCCTCACGTTTGTTCGGTATTAAGATGCCGTCGGCGGAGGGGCTCCAGATAGAGGCCGGCACTTCGCGGTCGAGCTTTGCAGCAGCGGTAAGGGATTCCAACCCCGGCCAACGTCTGCAACCTCAACCAAACTCATTCTACGACGTCGATTTACACAAAATCGAAGCCAAGCAAGGGCGATTCAAAGGCTTCCCGGCTGTCAACTTCTCTGATTCGGATATTCAGGTTCTTTCTGTAAATTTCTGTTTCGCTCTTGTTGGGACTTTCCGCAATGGCCGATCGTCCTTACCTTCGATCCGAAAAGCTATGACGGCCCTAGGGTTCAAAAAACCCTATTCCGTTGGTCTTCTACAATCAAATGTGATTATTTTTAATTTAAGAAATTGATCCAATTAGGACTAAAACATAGTCAATACTCCAACTTAGGACTTAATGTTTTTAATTCCCTAAATGAGACTCCCTATTACCATATTACCCCTAATATATTAAATCCCTAGCTCTTCTGTGTTTGTCTTTCCCGATCTCTGCCTCCTTTTCGCGTAGATCGCCCCAGATCTCTCCCATGTCGATCTGCATGTCATCTTCGATTCCCTCTCCGCTGCCCAGGTCGACTTTTCTCCAGGTAAATGTTTCTTCTTCTTCTTTCTTCTTCTTTTCCTCCTTCTCCCTCTTTTCCTTTCCTTATCTTCTGTTCTCTGCTCCTCTCTGCTCCATTCTTATTCGGTCAACATTTTAGATTAATTTTATGTTGATGTTTATGTTAATTCTTTTAGATTCAAAATGGAATTTTTTTTAATTGAAAATTTTGGATTTGGAACTTTGGATTTGAAATTCGAGGGGCTATCAATTGTTCGAAAATATTTGGGTCTAATTTTTTTATTATGTTCGTGTATCAACTTTTAAAAAATGCCACAGGGGTTGACAATTTTTTAGAGATATATTGACAGTTTTTTGGAGATGACAGTATTATATCTTTGAAAGTTAAATGATTTTGATATTTTTGATAAATGACGACATTTTTGCATCTAAAAATGTCATGTTGTAATCTCAAAAATGACATGTTTTTGCATCTAAAAATGTCATGTTGTAATCTCAAAAATGACATGTTTTCGGACCTAAAAATGTCATGTTGTAATCTAAAAAATGACATGTTTTTGCATCTAAAATGTCATGTTGTAATCTCAAAAATGACATGTTTTTGCATCTAAAAATGTGATGTTGTAATCTCAAAAATGACATGCTTATGGACCTAAAAATGTCATGTTATAATCTAAAAAATGACATGTTTTTGCATCTAAAATTGTTATGTATTTTTCTTTGGTGTTATGATGATGTCAATTCCACCTGAAATTGATAACATACTCTCCAGAGAAGGTAGCCAACATTGGCGGATGAAGGTGTAGCACTATTCTCACCAGAGGGCAAAGAAGCCATCTAGCATGATGTGTGCGTTCTTGCCGAGTGTGTGCAACGGCGGTCTCGCCGGTGGCAGCGGCAGCTCCTCACCGGGCAGTGGCGGTGGCGGTCTTGACAATGACGACTGGCGCGGAGGGTGTTGTTGGTGTCGGTGGTCTTGAAGCCCTGTTGCAAGGAATTATCGAAGGAAGTGCATGGGCGTTTTTTATTTTTATTTCATTAAAGGTAATTTTGTCAAATCATCTCTTTTTAGTCCTATTTGTGATTAATAAAACATAGTGGTCCTATTTTTGAAATTCTACCTTCTTTTAATCCTATTTAGACAATTCTCTCTTTTAATTTTTAGTCGATTCTGATTTTCAACGATTTTGGATAAAAAACACTTGGGATTTCTATGGTTATACGAAGATTCTAACAAGATGGACTCCATCATTCTCTGTTCACTGCGATTCCCCCTCGGCTCCTGTTTGGGTAGCCTTCGATGGCTTGCCAGTTCATCTGCAGGACGTTAGAGCGCTTTTCCCAATAGCTAGTCTACTGGGGAGACGTCTAATTATTGATTCTCCAATTGCTAACTTTTCAAGACCCTCTACTGCTAGAATATGTATTGAAATGGATGTCTCTAGATCTCTTCACTCTAAAATCTGGATCGGTAATGGAGAAAGAGGTTTTTTCCAACCTGTGTTGTATGAAAAGCTTCCAGTTTACTGCACATTTTGCTCTCGATTTGGCCACAACAAATCAGCTTGTTTACGACATGAAAAAACTACAGATTCTGAACCGATGATGCCTAAAAAGCTGAGGTTACTGCCCCGATTGCCCCTGTACCTCCTAATTTGTCTGTTGTTGGTCATGCTGAGGTTTGTGCAGCAACTCTTGATGCCCCCATTACTGTCCGATTCTATTGTTGATGTGAATGCCCGGGTTATTGCAGCTTGTGCTACTCTTGATTATGTAGAGAGAGGCCTCTCTTGTAATAGAATATTATTAGGAAGATTTGTTTCCTAGAATATTATTAGGAAGATTTACTTCCTAGAATATTATTAGGAAGATTTGTTTCCTATTCTGTATTAAACTCTGTTACTATAAATAAACATCCAGGGCTCCTATTGGAGCACCTTTCCCCGTTATTTCACATGGTATCACGAGCCTAAGAAGAAGAAAAAAACCCTATTTTTTTTTCCTCTCTTTCACGTTCGACCCAGCCATGTCGCAGCCGCACTCCTCCATGGCGCCGATCATCTCTTCCGGTGAGTCCTCGCCTCTTTCTTCTGCTACGGACACACCCACCACTGGTGCGATTGACACCTTCTCTTCGTCAATCGTAACCGCTACTGCTCCGGAAGTCTCTCAACCGGTGCCCTATTCAGTTTCCATGGCGTCAGACCCTCATCCGTATTCTGCTGGATCATCATACTCTCTTTTCGAAACCTTGCCGCCACACCTTCCATGGCAGTAGGTTGGTTTTGGTCTACCTCCAGCAAATCCAGAGCCACGACCCCAGGTTATGTGGCAGCAACCTGGTCCAGTTTCTTCCCTGGTCGCCTCACCTTTGCAGCCGCAGCCGGTCATTCCTCTGGCGGCACCGAATCAGCAACCCGTCAGCACTCCCTATTTCGGGCCCTCTTTTGCTGGTTCACCGGGTGTAGTTCATCCCGCACATGATAATCCCCTTTTTGGTTCCCCGATGGCAGCAATGGCACAATCACTTTCACACGGCATTGCCAATGTCAGCCAGATTGTGACTATTAAGCTTAAAGCGGTGGAAGACTACCTTACATGGCGGACGCACTTCGAGTCATTCATTGTGTCACAGGGTCTTTTTGGCATTGTAGACTGCACAATTCAGGTACCTCCCATGTACACTTTGGATTTTAATAATCAGCGCATCGTTAATATTGATTACTATCATTAGCTTTGGGTGGATCAAACAATCCGCTCTTGGTTGTTTGCCACTCTTACTCAGGATGTATTAACTGATGTTCATGATATTAAACATTCCTTTGGTATATGGGCACGATTACAATCACGCTTTATGTCTGCCAGTTTACCTAGAGCTATGGAACTCAAACGATTATTGTCCAATACTAAAAAGAAGCCAAATCAGTCTATGGAGCATTATTTACCTGATATAAAAAAATTGTCTGATGCTTTAGCTGCCATAAACTCACCTGTGACTAATAAGGAATTACTAGAAAGCACACTTCGTGGATTGGGGCCTGAATATCAATTTGTTACGGGAACCATGCAATTATTTCCTGAAAGTTTTCCACCCGATATCCTTCACCCACGGCTCATGGAAACCGAACAACAAGTACTACATCTTCAGGAGGAGGCTTCCTCATTGCAGCCAGCGTTTGGGGCTCATGTGGGTCACGGCCAGCCCCACAGTCCACAGGGACAGCAGCCCGGACAGGGCGCATACCGCGGCAGAGGAGGCCGCGGCAGAGGAGGTCGCGGCAGAGGCGGCTGTGGCAGAGCAGGCCGTGGACGAGGTCGATTCCAGTAGCAGCAGCCCTATGGCCAGCCGGGATACCCACAGCAGGAGCAGCCATTTATTCGGCCACCACCCCAGCACTCGGCCGCAGGGTGTGTGTACAACCCGAGACCCACTAATGCTCCGTCTGGTAATTCTGTCTTGTCCATTTTAAATATTAATGCTAAATTTACTTCTGGTACTTACTCACATTATGCAGGTTTCCCATCCGCTGAGGGTATTCTTGGGTCAGTTCCATTCCCGGTTGTGTGTCAAATTTGTTTCTCTGCAGGTCATTCTGCATTACATTGTCTGTCTCGCTTTTCACAGTCTGCTACACCTGCCTTGATTGCTCCAACTAGGGAAACTAATGATGCTTTGTGGTATCCGGATTCCGGAGCTTCTGCTCACATGACCTCATCTGAAGGTATTTTGTCAAATAAATCCCCTTATTTTGGCTCCATGTCTGTTAGTGTTGCAAATGGCATTAAACTTCCCATAGCTAATATTGGTAATATTACATTAAATACTCCTGGCCGCCCGTTGTCATTAAACTCTGCTTTTCATGTGCCTCAAATTAAATTCAATTTAATTTCTATTCAAAAATTGTGTGCTGATAACAACTGCATTGCTATTTTTGATAAAAACTCTTTTGTTGTTAAGGACAAAATTTCGGGGGCAGTTCTTCTTCAGGCGTGTCATAATGGTCATCTCTACCCAGTCAGCCTCAGTCCTCCTGCACCATTAGCTCTTTCTTCCGCTATTACTTCTGGCCCTGTGTGGCACCGTAGATTAGGACATTGTGGCGAATCTGTTTTACGCCTGTTGCGTGGTAGAAAACTTATTTCTCATTTTTCAAATTTTGAACATGATTGTGTTTCTTGTCGTTTGGGTAAATCTCAGCGATTACCCTTTTCAGATGCTAGTCATAATTCTACTTCTCCATTACAGTTAATTCATTCTGATGTGTGCCAATCTCCAGTTTTATATAATTTAGGTTTTAAATATTATGTGTTCTTTATTGATGACTTCTCTCGCTTTACTTGGATTTACCCATTGTGCACCAAACATGAGGTCTTTTCTCAATTTCGTCTCTTTAAACTTTTAGTTAAGAATTTATTTAATTCTAAAATTAAAGTTTTTCAGAGTGATGGAGGGGGTGAGTTCGTTAATTCTTCTATGCAACAATTTTTGGCCGAAAATGGTATTTATTTTCAAAAATCTTGCCCTTATACTCCGCAACAAAATGGTGTTGCTGAACGTAAACATCGCCATCTTTTTGAACTTGCTCGGACTATGCTTATTACAGCTTCAATTCCTAATACTTTTTGGGTGGATGCTATTTTTACAGCTGTCTATATTATTAACAGACTACCCTCTCCTACTCTTTTTAGTGCTTCACCATATGAAAAACTATTTCACAAAATTCCTGACTATAGTTTGCTTTGTATTTTTGGGTGTGCTTGTTATCCGAATTTTTCTGCTTCTTCCAACAAATTGTCACCATGTTCTGTTCAGTGTGTTTTTCTTGGCTATGCATCTGGTTTTAAGGGGTATCGCTGTCTTGACCTCAAATCTGACAAGGTTTTTATTAGCCGGCATGTTCGTTTTCATGAAAATATTTTTCCATATGCCACTTTGTCTTCGTCTACGGGTCATGAATCTACATCTTCTTCATCTATTCCCGACGATTTTACCCTTATCAATACCACACCTCACTCGATGCCTCCAGCCCCCACCATCTCTCTTCCATCACCCACTGAACACTCCAATACAATCCCCACGCCCTTAGCTCTTCCTACTTCACCAGGGCAAACCAATGCTCAAACACCTCCCTCCACACCAAATTATAATTTCCGAACCCCATCAATACCAAGCCCTCACTCGACTCCACCTTCAGGCACTCCCTTACCTGCCTCTCGGTCTGCAACTCCTTCCCACAAATCAGATGCGCCTGAAGCAGTCTTCACTCGTCCTGATAATGCTCCAAGTGTGCAACCGCAGCTACCGGCCAGTGCACCAGATACATCTTCCTCTGGTCCGCTGGCTAATTGTCACCCAATGCAAACTCGGGCTAAGTCGGGCATTTTTAAAGCCAAAATGATTTTTAATTTAAACACAGTTATTTTATCAGCTGATCCAACTTGTTATTTAGAGGCTAACAAACAGTTAAAATGGCTTGAGGCAATGGCGGAGGAATTTAATGCTCTTATTTCTAATAATACTTGGGATTTAGTTCCGTTTGATCACACTAAAATGTTGTGGGCTCTAAGTGGATTTATAAGACTAAGTATAATTCTGATGGTTCTATTGAGCGTCACAAAGCTCGATTAGTTGCTCAGGGGTTTAATCAACAGGCAGGTGTGGATTTCTCTGAAACTTTTAGTCCGGTTATTAAACCCACCACAGTTCGTATTGTTCTTACTCTTGCTATTTCTCTTGGATGGGTTATTCGTCAGTTGGACGTTAAAAATGCCTTTTTGCATGGTCATCTAACTGAGGAGGTATATATGCGTCAACCGCGGGGCTTTATTCATCCCTCATTTCCTAATCATTTATGTCGTTTGCGAAAAGCCATTTATGGGCTCAAGCAAGCCCCTCGGGCATGGTTTCATAGGTTTAGTAGCTTTCTACTTTCTCATCATTTCACATGCAGCAAGTCTGATGTTGATGACATCATTATCACTGGCAATTCTTCTGCGGCTATCACATCTTTTATTCAGCTTGTTGCTCAACATTTTGCTATGAAGGATCTTGGTGATCTTCATTATTTTTTAGGAGTCCAGGCTGTCCGCTCAGATAAAGGTTTGTTCCTATCCCAGCATAAGTATGTTTCTGATCTTCTATCTCGATTTCATCTCCATACTCTCAAGTCTGTCCGCACTCTGCTTGCTACTCGCACATCTTTATCCCTCACTGATGGGGAACTTCTTGCTGATGCTACTGAGTATCGTAGTATGGTTGGTGCATTACAATATTTAACTTTGACACGAACTGACATTACCTATGCTGTGCATTTAGTGTCTCAGTTTACGCATGCTCCACGTACTACTCATCTTTTTGCTGTCAAGAGAATTTTTAGATACTTGTAGGGGACTATTGAGCATGGTTTGTGGCTTCAGCCTACATCTCGAGCTATTTGTGTAATTGCCTACTCTGATGCTGATTGGGCTGGCTGTCCAGATACGTCCCGCTCCACAACTGGTTTTGCAGTTTTCTTGGGCGCGAATCTTATCTCCTAGAAGTCCAAAAAGCAGCCTACTGTCTCCAAATCCTCTACAGAAGCTGAATACAGGGCCATTGCTTACACAGTTCAGGATACCCTGCATATACGTTCCATATTGTTTGAGCTCGGCTATCCCATTACTACGCCAGTCCAGCTTTTTTGTGATAATATTTCTGCTTCTTATCTCACTGCTAATCCAGTTCAGCATGCTCGTAGCAAGCACATTCAGATTGACTATCGCTTCGTCAGGGAGCGTGTGGCTCATGGAGATCTAATTGTGAAGTACATCCCTACTCAGTTACATTTAGCTGACATTTTTACTAAAAGTCTTTCTAGTCAGCAATTTCATTTTTTAAAAGACAACCTGTGCGTTGTATCTCCCGCACAGTTTGAGGGGGTGTAATAGAATATTATTAGGAAGATTTGTTTCCTAGAATATTATTAGGAAGATTTGTTTCCTAGAATCTTATTA